GTTAAGTGAGGACTTGCTGTAGTGAAATTCCAGTAGGCTGGCATACAGATGATGTTGCTCTGGGTTTTAAGTCTATTTGGGTACTCCGAAAGCAAGGTCTTTTTTATTTTTTCCAGGAACAGACATCTTTGAGAATTCTTTACTTTTTTTTTTTTAAGATTTATTTATTTATGCATATAACCACTGGGGTACAGGCCAGAGATGCAGGGGGGTGAGAGGATTCACCAGAGACAGAGCGGGGAACAGAACAGGCAGACTGACTGAAATACACTGCTGAGGGGAGCAGCGGGCGAGACAGGAGAGGTCTGCTGCGCCCTGTGGGTCACCTCCCTTGCTGGTCAGAGATTGAACTCTTGCTGTAGAGGCTGCGGATAGTGTCACAGTGCTGTGCTTAACCCCTTGAGCCACCAGGGAGGCCCGAGATATATTTTCATCAAAACTTTTATTATTTTTATTATTTTTTTAAAAAATTATTTATTGCTTTATACAAGAACCATGGTACAGACCAGATGTACGGGAGGGCGAGAGTATTTACCAGAGACAGAGTGGGGAACAGAACAGGCAAACTGATCAAATACACTGCTGAGGGGAGTAGTGGGCAAGACAGGAGAGGTCTGCCTCACCTTGTGGGACCCTCGCCGGCTGGCAGAGATCAAACCGGCACTGTAGAGGCTGCGGGCAGCTTCACAGTGTGGCGCTTCAACCTCCTGCGCCACTAGGGGAGGCTCTTATTATTTTTTTAAGCATCCTTGTTTATTTTTCCATAATACAGAATTTCTTCCCTTAGGTGTGGTGACCATAGTTTTCCTACCACCAGAGTGCCCACAGACTTCCAACATACTTCACCATGCTCTCCTCCCCAGCTGTTATTGACTCTTTTTGTTTGTTACTTCTGTATTAGGCTCTGTCAGATCCCACTGAATCAATGTATTTTTCTGAGTAAACAGAGTCAGCTGTGGTGATAGTGCTGTTGTAGAAGATTTTGCTTATCTACACTTAGTTGACTAGTAGATCACATAATTGTCATTTTGTAAAAGGAATGTAGATAAATAGTAATTATTAGCTACTGTTTTGGGGATTGTAAGTTGGTAGACACTTTCTAGAGAGAAAGCTGGCAATTTGTTTCAAAATCACGTATTTGTGCACTTTTGACCCTATGAGTCCTATTTCTAGGAATTTCCCTTAAAAAATGAGTGGACACAGGCCTCCCTGGTGGTGCAGGCAGTTGAGTGCAGTTGAGCGCAGTTGAGCTCTGAGGCTGTCCGTGGCCTCTGCAGTGCGGGTTCGATCCTGGCCAGCCAGGGAGAGACCCACATGGCATGGCAGACCTCTCCTGTCTCTCCCGCTGCTCCCCTCAGCAGTGTTTTTGGTCAGTCTGCCTGTTCTGTTCCCCACTCTGTCTCTGGTGAATCCTCTCACCCTCCCGCACATCTGGCCTGTATCCCAGTGCTTGTCTAAATAAATAAATCTAAAAAAAAAAAGTGGACATATGTATGAACGTGCATTTAAAATTTTAATTGCTGCATCTATTATAATAGGACATTAGAAATTGCTCAAGTACCTAGCCAGAAAGGATTTTGTTAATGACTATGATATTTACATGCAATGGTATACTATGCAGTCATTACAAGTGATTATGTGCTCATTGACGTCAGAAAGATATACAGGATATATTTAAGTAAAAAATGAGACTACAAACATCATGTGCAGTATAATGTCATGTTTCCCCCTGCAAGGATGGATATACATGATTGAGACATAAAACATCTATAGCCATATCTATCCATCTACCTACCCATTAAGTTTTAGAGGACATATAAAGTGGTTCTCTCTGGATGGCAGAATTATAGATCGTGTTTGCTTTCTTCTTTGTGGCTCTTCATGTTACCTAAAGTTGTTATGGTATTTATACAGTACTTTACATAGAAATTAAAGGATGGAACTGGGGTTTGAAGTAAAAATTTCACATACTTAAATTACCGGATGGTCTCACTCATAGCAGGATTCTAGAAAACCTAAATAAGGGACCAGGAAAAAGAATAACTATAAGAAAGAAAAAAAAAAAATCAACAATCAACTATGAACCAGAGACACACTTTGGGGATGGGGTGGGGAAAGGAGGAATTGGGGTAAAAATCAGGGGGTTGCAATTGTATGGGGAATATAAAAATAAAAAAAACAAAAAAAAATTCACATACTTTATTCCTTTATCTATTTGTAGAATGATTCTGTCCTTTAACTATTACTCTGGCAATGTGTCTTTGTCCCAACCTAGAGGCAGCCTGTGGCTCACTCTTTATATAAACCAGTTTGGTGTGGAAGACTGTGAACTAGGTATTTGAAGATCTGGTCCCTATCCTTTGTCTATAACTGAAGACTCAAGTGGATAGAGCCAGATAACCCAATTGCAGACACATGAAATGTCAAAGGCAGACCTCAGACTTGTGAATGCCGGGTCCAAGTCCCAAATCCAGTGCTCTTGTATCAAAATCAAGATTGCCTTTTTAAAAAACATAATGTCATAATTTCAATCAATTTCCTAACAGGTCCTGGTGATGTTTGAATGTTGAGTGCCTTACAACAACTAAAAAAATGACTTTTTTCCTACCATCTCTTTTCTTTTTTTATAGATTTATTTTTATTTATGCATGCAAGAACTGGGCTGTAGGCCAGAGGTGCAGGGAGGTGAGAGGATTCACCAGAGATCGAGTGGGGAGCAGAACAGGCAGATTGACTGAAACACATTGCTGAGGGGAGCAGCGGGCAAGACAGGAGATGTCTGCTGTGCCATGTGGGTTAGCTCCATGGCCTGGGATTGAACTCAGGTTGCAGTGGTGATAGTGGAGACTTAACCCCTAGGCCACTAAGGAGGCCCCCGACTCTTTTCTTTATAGATTGCATGCAAGCTAGCCTAGGTCTAGCTGCTTTGCTGTATTTGTGCTGGCATGGCACTGTGAATGCCATAGTTGCCCTCGATCATTAATGCATTTCTGCGTGCCAGCACTGTAATAGACTACCCTTCGTTATAAATCTTGGGAATAACAGGCACTGTTTTGTTTTAGCACTTGTTATTTGTGTTTTGTGTTTAAGCATTGTGTGTTATGCCTGCAAAAAAGTTCATATTAATCGGCAATTGTTATTGTGAGATTAACTGATGATAATTTTTTTTTAGTAAGAATCAGCTGGCGTTTGAATAGCTAACCTCCATGAAGAAAATGAAATAATATTTCTAAAGCATGGGCAAAGGTCTGAAAGTGCACATGCCCAAACTGGTAGGGAGAGTTGACCTTGTGGAGGGAGCGAGGGGAGATTTAAGCGGAGTTGGAAAAACTGTCCCTTCTCTGCCTGGGAAAGGGTTCATGTGAGATGTTAGGAAGACAGCTTCGGGGAAAAAAAAATCCCAAGTAAATAGAATTTCAGCCAATAATTTCTTGAACTTCACCCTCCTTTGGAATGTTTTCATTCTCTGGGGGGAAAACAGAGATTGAGTCATTTATACAGCGAGTGAGAACTTTACTAAAAATGAAACCTCAGGAGATGTTTGCCCTTTGGTGCTTTCTTGAGTCTCAATTTATGAGCCCTGCAACAATGTCAGAGAAATGTTCTGAGCAACTTGTCTCTCTTGCTTTCTTCATTATATGGGACTGTAAATTGTCAGGACTTTGAGGAGGAGTCCCTGACATGGTTATCTGATGCAAAAGTCTGATCCTCCCACTTAAAATGATGATTTCTCCATGTCTGCACTCTCTCCCTTCCCCACCCTAACTGCCTAACTTTTCACACATAGCATTCTGGCTTTATAAATCTTTTTCTTTGATTCTGCTAACTGATTGCTAAATCCATGACATCATCCTTGGAGCCAGGAGCACGTAACCTCTGGGCTCCTAAATGCAGGCTGTGATTTTGGTCCTGGACAGCAGAAGGAGATGTTGAGCCAGAAGATAAGAGTTGTTTTTTGTTTTTGTTTTTGTTTTTTTAACTTAGTATGTAAACAATTAGTGTTACGTTTTCAAATAATTAGAAAGATGAGAGCTGCAGTGGTTGTTTTGTACAATGAGCATTGTCTTCTTTTTTTTCAGAGGAGCCACATTTTAAGAAATGTTTTCTACATAGGACAAACCTTTGGGGAACCATATCATTTTGCTGCGAGCTGAATGGTTCACTATATGACCTGTCTCTCACTCTCTGTTTTCTCCGGGTGCTCATTTTGTACATGCATGTTGCGGCCTAAAGTGTTGGTGCCTGGCTTTGGCACTCATCTTGAGAGAATGTGGGTTGTGTAGTTCCCTGGTTGTGGCTGAAAATTCTGCAGTCTTGCCAGTTTGCTCGATGTTGCTTCAAACATCCATGGGTCCTGGGAGAGGAAATTTCTATTCCTTTAAAGGCGTCATCTTTCCAATTTTGAAAAAAGGAGTAAAATGCCACTTTTAAGGGTGTTAAGTCACCATACAATTTACTTCTTAAACAACAGAGTTGGCAGAGATGTGGGCAGGGTTATTTTACCATTAATGAGATCTAGGGCATTGGAGGGAGTTTCCACTGTTCTGCAAATTGATGAATTTATTTTATATGTAGATGTCCCAGAATTCCTAGAAGATTTCAACAACCTTCTTTCATTTCCACTTTAACAATATCCCATGCCAGATTCGTGGTTCTTAAGTCCTTGAAACTCAGACATCCTTATATACCAAAATTTATCAAGAACTTCTAGTTCAAACCCAGCTCAAGATGGTGATTTAGCTTTTAGGTAATTTAAAACATTCAGGATGATTCTGTTTTCATTATGTTTACCCTCTTACTTCCTGGAATTTGGAAATTTGCTATGGTATCCCCATCAAAAAGAATTATCCACTTTGCTTACTAAAACTGAATCTTATGCCATAGTCTGTCTGAATGGTGATGAAATGAATTTACCTCTAGTCCAGTCTCTCGTTAGAGTTAATAGGTATGCCCTGTCTGCTTTGTTTTGATTCGCTCCCCCTCACTCCTTCTCCTTTAAGGAAAGCAAAGGAAAATGTGTTTGGACGAAAGAGAAGTTTTTCGAATGGCCATGTATTTTCTGAAAAAAAGCAGCAGCTGGAGCTGGACTCAGTTGTAGAAGAAACCATAACAAGAGATTATGCCTTAATCATAAATGGTCACAGTTTGGTGAGTTCACTTAAGGCTTTGTTCTTTCTATTTCTTCACCCCAAAATTATCTCTTTTGTCCTTTCTTAATGAGATCTCCTTTTGTGGTTTCCAAACAAGTGTCACTACTAGAAACAGTACATGCCCTGTAATTTCCTGCTTTTAAGGGGAAAGGAAATTTCTAATATATATTTCATACATTATTGCTGGAATGACCACAGTAAAGGGGAGGATCTGAAGAAATACTGAATTTACAGAATATCAATCTTTTCTAAATGATTATAGACCATTTAACAGTAATGTTTAAATGCCTTTGAGGATGTCATAGCTCACTATTAGTAACTGAAATAATGCAAGTGGATGAATGTACTATAATTATTGCTCTTGCTAATGTTTGTGATTTGTGGAGCACAACCTGACCTTCACATAATTACCACACCAGATTATTGCCATTTAGATACCTCTGGTGGTTTTTCTAAATAGCAGCATTTTATAGCAATGCCAAACAATTTGCTTTGATTAGGAAATCTGGTTCTTGTCGTAATAGAATAAACTTGCATTGTACTTTTAATGTAGTTCAGGTTCCAAATCTTGAACGAATATCAAAACACTCGTCTGAGTTTCTAATTTAGAAAACAAAAGCTCTGATTGCAGTCCAGTGAAACTATCATTTATATGCACAAAGAGCTAATCTCACATCTTTCTCTGACTTTGATGATCATTTTTCACTTTTGGATTTGGAGAATAAATGCATCTTCTTGTAGACAGTTTCTTAGAGGACAAAAGAAGTTGGATCTGAGTATATTGTATTCCCCCTCCACCTTGTGATCAGCTGTCTGTTAGCTCTTAGTGCTTAGAGCATTATCCAGCTGGATTCCAGACATAATGATGTGTTGCCTTCTACACCATGGAAAGTTACAGAGCTCAGTTGCAGGCCAAGCTCAGTTGAAAGTTTGTCCAGATGACACGAACTTCTCCCTTGCACAAATGAGCAGCAACTGAAAATTATAAGCCTGTCAGCTGGACTTGGAGCTAGTGGCCGCCAAGCTGAATTGCCCAGGGACCACACTATGGAAAGGATCCCTAATGAGTAGCATGCTTTGACTTCTTCATAGTTTCAAAGAAGCTAGTGTGTGTGTGTGTGTGTGGCAGGGGGCAGGGGTGGGGGGAAGAAGGTGGTGGTGGTTGGAATACTCAGGTGAAAGCAGATGCTGTTTTCTCCTTGTCTCTAACTCTGCTGAAAGAAAGCTGAGATAGATGTTCTTCAAGAACCCCTTTAGCTTCAAAGCCTGAAGCTGATGAAACTATGAAATGTCATTTTTTAAAGTAGAATTGACCATGTTTTTTTAAGTGTGCTCACAATCTTAAAAAGAATCATGACTCTAGTTTTCTCAAATCTTGATGCTTTGGAGGCTATAATTGGGTCCTTCTCAGAACCCATGTTTTCACTCATTAATAAGAAAGAAAGAAGGCGGGTCATTCTGGACAACAAAATCAGTTTTACATACTTTCTCTTTTAGAAAAGGGCAATTACATTTGAGAATGCCAGCTCACAATCCCCCCTAGCAATTATAGGTCTTGATGTGAGAATTTTCTAATACTATTCATGCTTTTATACTTATTTGCCTATTCTTCCATTTAACCCACTAACATTTATGAAGCATGTCCAGGTCATGGTGATAGAGCCTGAGAAAAGATGTGAATAGTCATGGCCCTTGTTTTAGGGATTGCTATATGGTGGAAGAGCTTGCTTTACAGTGGTATGATAAATATTTTAAAGAGGAACATGATGTTTTGAATGCATGGAGACAGTACATTGAGTTCCTGATGGGAAAGACAGGGGAAGTGATAGTTCTGGTAGAAGACACAACAAGTCAAAATCACAGAAGCAAAAAAGACCCTGTTAGATTATGGAAACAAGTAATTTAGCATGATAGGAACAAATTATAAACTTAAAGGTGGTGGTAAAAGACAATTCAAAGAAGTATAAGAGTCAGATTGGAATGGGCTATGATTACCTTCGTGAAGATCATTAAAAGATACTGATGACTTAAAATTTAGGGGGAGTCCTGTTTCCTGCTAATGTGTTTATTAAGTAATATACGAGAGATGTTTTCTAGGAAAATGTGCTCAGCTTATTGGAAAGGATTATGGTCTTTTTTTCCAGACACTTCTTGGAATATCTAAAGGCTCTTATGTATTTAGAGAGGAACAAATAAGAAATGAGTGGGAACCCAGTCTGAGACCCAGGTTGTATGCCACCCTTTGACAGGTCTCTCTTTATGTCAAGTACTACATTCTTCAAGGGCTGTTCTGTAGATTATCTGCTTTTTGTTTGGCCACATTTTAACAACCATACAACAAACACTAAATATAGAAAACAACAACACAAAGAAAACAAACACCAGGTAGAACAAACAGATCTCCCTCATTTTGGTGGTTCATTTCTAAACTTGGTGAAATAGTGGTATTGTGTCTCTTGCTTGTCCTTATTTGGGTGGATTCCCCCACATTTAACTGTTTCTCTCCAATGCAGAGCTATGATGTGTCAAGGAGGACACACAAAGGCACCATGTCTTTTGCTTCTGATGTAAAATTCCTTGCTCCTTGGTAGGACTTCAATACTCATTTCTATGGTTGTTGTTGCTGTGTGACCTTAAATCAGCAATGACTTGTTGAAGCGAGTTGAACTGTTTAGAAATCTGTTAAGGAAAAAAGAAATTGCCTTCCCCAATGACATCTCTCATATCTTCTTTTTTTCATTTCTCTTTTTCCCCTGAATCATTTTTAACAACATAGGCTCATGCTCTAGAAAGTGACATCAAGAACGATCTCCTAGAACTTGCCTGCTTGTGTAAGACTGTGGTTTGTTGCCGAGTCACCCCTCTTCAGAAAGCTCAAGTAGTAGAGCTGGTGAAGAAGCACAGGAATGCTGTCACTTTGGCCATCGGTGATGGAGCCAATGATGTCAGCATGATCAAAAGTAAGAGGCCCTCTGCTCAGTGGAGAAAGCTGCCTGCCTGGAGTCCTCAAGTTTCAGCCTTTCAGAATAAGTACCAGAGATAGCACTGAATTTTTTTCCAGTGTTCTAAACTGAAAGCTTTCTTGATCCGGTATTATTAACATTCATTGAAAAAAATCAAAATTTTTTGATTATTTGTGTATGTTTAGGCCAAAAAGATTCAGCTCACCTTATGCAGTTTGGATTAGAAAATAGCTACGGAGTAGAGAAATGTGCACGGGACCCACAATTCCAACACTTGAGTTTAGTCCCAGCTTTGCCACCTACAAATTGTAAAACCCTGTGCAAGTCACTGAACTTTTCTGAGCCAATTTCCTCTGTTGTAAAACCAGGAAAAATACCTCGTGATCATCAATGTTTCGTGTGATAATGTATGTGAAAAATTAAAATTGCTATAGATACAAGTTTTCTGTAAATAAATTAGTAGTGTAAAAGAGGAATGGCCATTACCGAAAGAGAGTGTTTATGTTTGGGGAATGAGTGTGTTGTTCTTTTCCTTTGTAGGTGCTCACATTGGCATTGGCATCAGCGGTCAGGAGGGACTGCAGGCTGTTTTAGCCAGCGACTATTCATTTGCACAGTTTAGATTCCTCCAAAGACTTCTCCTCGTTCACGGAAGGTGGTCCTATTTCCGAATGTGCAAATTCTTACGCTATTTCTTCTATAAGAATTTTGCATTCACACTTGTGCATTTCTGGTTTGGTTTCTTCTGTGGTTTCTCAGCCCAGGTTGGTAAAAAGCACATTTCCTTTTTTATAAGATGACTGGATTGCAAAAGACTGCACTAATAGAGAGCATTTTTATATGTCTAATATTAGTTACAGCATTAGTTATGTAATTTATAGTTAACTTGAACTTTGAACCCAAGAAGAATATATATTTAGTTGGAATTTTATTTATTTTTGTTTTAGTGTAAGTAACCAATGGGTTCTCCTTTCTGTGCATTTTAAGATCTTTATTGAAATGTTTTGGTTTGATGACAGATAAAGTTGATGTAGAGTTTTAATTCAGAACAGAGGTCTGAGAAACACTATCAAGAAATATTGGTATCTCTATTGGGAAGAGAGTTATTTACCCAACATACTAAACATATAAGAGCTGGAAGTAAACATGTTTTAAATCAGGGAGAAGTAACTGATACCCTGATATCGGGGCTGTTTTGATAAAAAGCATCAGCTGAAAATTGTTAAAACAGATAATAAATAAACTAGGTATTATTGGTGAAGGAAATTAACCAATTAATAAATTAGGATTCTATTTTTATATCTACTTATATCCATTTTAAGAGGTAGTTATTTTTCCCTACATCTTGGATAGCAGAAAATTTCTACTGTGAAATGTAAGTAAGACCTATAGCATGGAATGCACTTATAAATAAAAAAATGTCTACGATATCTTGCACATGAATAACAACAAAAGAAAAATATTATCCTTAAGAGTAAAATGGTAACCATAACTCTCATTAGATATTTATTCAATTGTTTTTCTATCCTTGTGGGTTAATCACTGGTTTGTGTTAGAAATTTTTTTTCAATCATTTTATCCTAGAAAAATTGAATATGGATTAAATCAAGGTAGTGAACCCTTTTGTAATGAAAACATGCTTTGTACATTTTCCCCTTTTTTTCTGAGAAGGTGAGATTTCTTAAGGTGAGGCACACCAATACCCATTTTTAATTTTCTCTTCCAGGATATCATACCAGAACTAAAAGCAGACTATAATGACTGTTTTGGTAATCTCTAGCCTGTTGAAGTGAAGCAAACTTTTGAATTAGGTTCTCAGAAATACAAGTCTTCTTAGTGCTATATCAGAGAAGGCACGGGGGTGGTGAGATTTACCTGCTCACAATTCTACTTTTGTCCATAAAGACAAGTGTGGGGATGTGGCCTGTGCCGTCCTGGGCTGGTTACTTTCTCTCCACAGAAGAATAAAACAAGTTTGTTTGCTAAGTGGTATTTCTGAGAGATCCAGTCTTCATACTGCAAAGGACTGAGATTTGTGAAAAATCACAAAACTGTGAAGGGATGCACTAACCCTCATTTAGACCTCTGAGGACACAGAAGAGTAATGACTTCTATTTACAGACACACCAAGCTTAGGTAGGCAGGTTTACTGCCAAATTTATCTGTTAAAACTGTGAAGTTGGGGGCCTTCCCTGGTGGCGCAGCGGTTGAGTGCGGGGCTTTGAAGCTGCCCGCAGCCTCTGCAGCGCCAGTTCGTTCCCCGGCCTCCCCTCCGGAGAGGGTCCCACAAAAAACAAAACAAAAAACAAACAAACAAACAAAAAAACCTGTAAAGTTGAGACTAATAGCCAGTGACTTCTAACCTCTGCATTTAGGTGATTTTCTGCTCTGCTTTCAGGATCTGATAAAATTGGTCAGAGTCAGATGTTAAACAATTAGATTTTTAATCCTTTCACTAGTATTTATATTTTGAAAGAGAACAGCAAGGGAGAGCAGTGATTGCTTCAAAGACATGAGTATCTGATGGTTAAACCCAGCTGCAAGACATGCCACCTGTCTATGATTAGGTTTCTTAAACGTTTGATTTAACTTAACACATTTCTTTTCTGTGCTACTTTTTTCCCTCTTTTTAATTTTTTTTTCATTGAGTTCTTTGGTTAATTGCATCCTCTTCATCTGAGTCCACTGTCAGTGTTGACTGACCCTCCATGTGGTTTCCTGTGCTGGTGAATTGGGCTGACTCAGTGGTTCTCAAACTTTAAGGTTCACGGGGGTCTCTGTGAGCACATTAAAAGCATGGTTCGGTGAATCCCACTTGAGTTTATGACTCAGTGTGTCTGAGGTAGAGCCAAAGAGTTTGCATTTTGACAAGTTCCCTGGAGGTGCTGCTGTGCAGATGAGGGACCATACTTTGAGGACCATGGGGCTTGACAATCTAGAATCTTCAATCTTGCTTCCTTGAACCCAGAACCCAGGGTGGAATCCAATTTTCTGATTTCTTATTTTGTCTGCACTGGACTCTATTCAACTTTTCTGAGGCAGAGGGGCAGTTAAGCAAGCAGGTTATCCCTCCAAGTAGAATTTTTCCAGAGGACTTAGAATCTCCTTACCTGCCAAAGCCATCCTACCCTGTGGCTGATACCTCTACAGTGGAAACTTCTCGTTTTGAAGCGAAAGCTCTATCAAACCAAGGACAGTAGAAAAACAGAGGTCTCTTTCAGGAAAGAAGGTTGCTTTCCCCAATTTACCCCACCTATTATGACTTTATCTAGCTTAACCATGTGTTCCTTCAGTAAAGGAAGCACGTCTGAATCAGCTGCATAGCCCATTATCTTGAAGGGCACCTGGCACAAAAAGGCATGTAGTCATTTCCTGTTGTTGGGTGCGTCTAGTGCCCTTTTTCGTGCTTGAGATAGATGCAGCAAGGAGTCATTCCAACATGCCTCCGGTCACTTCTGGAAGCTGCCACTTGCTCTCCCTGCACCAACGGCCATCTTTGCAGTCTCCACATCTGGTCTACGTAAATGTGTCAGCCTGACTAGCATTGTGGGACAGGGGCTCAGGGTCTTAAGATCTGTATGTATTCCAGCTCTATGTTCTGATTCCAGAATGTAGAATGTGTTTTCAGTTGTGCTAATATTAGTCTGAGATGATAATGAATTTGGCTACAAGTGAGGTATTTCTTAATTATTTATATATTGCTTCATTCTAAGAAGCATGAAAAGTGGATTTCTCAGGTTTATTTTGCTTTGCCTGGATCTTGGCTGATTTAAACAGGGCAGGGCACATCCTCTTTTTGCAAGGGAACAATTAGACTACTGAATAGGAAACCTGGACTGGTGTTCATTTTGCCCTAGTTTTATGATGATTTGGTCAAATTAAAACTCAGGCCTATACTTACTGGATGGGATCCCTTGGTCTTACTATAAAGACTTTCATGCATTTAATGAATATTTACTAAGCCCCTTGTATAATCAGGCTGTGGTGCCTACTGAAGTTTATACTCCAGGTATGGGAAGCGGTGTCTTGGTAGACACGGTAAAGTGAGCGCACAAATTTTATTAGTTGTCTGTAGTGGAGGTTTTAGGGTTCTGTTTTCAGACTTATCAGAGAAGTAGACAGGCTTGTCAGGAAAGTAGTCCTTTGATATTAAATGTTGGAGAGGAAAAGTCAGCAACTCAATGACAATATCTGTGTAATGGCATCAGTGCTGTGGTGTCATCTTCTAGGTGGACTCAGGATATTTTTGCTATGACAAGGAGGGATAAGACATATTACAATTATGGCTGACAGTTAAATAGAAGTTACTATGTGCCAGGCATTATCTAAATGTTTTACCAATATTAGCTCAATACTTAACAATAGCCATTTTAAGTGGGTTTGTAATTGTGGTTTGCACCAGTTTTTTAAAACATAATTTAAACATTTTGTATTGAAAAATATATGGAAGGTACTGTTATAACCATTTTTATGTGTATAATTCATACATGTTATTGTGCAATAGGTCTCCAGAATTTTTTCATCTTGTAGAGCTGAAACTCTACCCATTGAAAACAATTTTTGTTTTCCCTTCCCTGCTAATCTTGGCACCATCATTCCACTTTCTATCAGTTTCACTATGTAGATAGTTCATGTAAGGAGAATCATACAGTATTTGTCTTTTGTGACTTGGTTTTTTCACCTAATATCCTTAGGGCTCATGGAGTTATAGCATATCAAAGGATTCCCTCCCTTTTTAATGCTAAATATTATTCTGGTAGGTATGTGTGTGTTTGTGCATGCATGCGTACGTGTGTGTGTGTGTGTGTGTGTGTACACACTAAATTTGATTTATCCATTTATCCCTTGAAGGACATTTGGATTGCTTCCACTTCTTGGTCTAATCAGCATTTTGCTCAGTATTTTCCAATGATAGTATATATGTTTTACTGTCCAATGAATTGTATTTCTCCCCACCTGAACTTCACTGTTCTATCTCATTAGGTCAATTCCTTCTATATCCATTTTTTACCCCTCTAGGCTCATCTCTTTTTTTTTCCATTGTATACTTCAGTGATATTTTTAATTTTATACATTTTTTACATCATTTTTCATTTTTGCAACAATGTAAAAATAAGGGACCAGGTAAAAACCTAATTATAATAAAGTAAAAATCAAAATCAACAAGCAACTATAAACCAGAGACACACTACAGGGGGGAAGAGGAAGTAGGATCAAAACAAATAGGGTGGGAATTGTATGGGATCTATATATCCATTTTTTAAAACCATTAATGGATGTGGTATTTTATCGAATGCTTTTACTGAGTCTATTGAGATGAATTTTATATTTCATTCTGTTATGATCTGTATGATATTTAGTGATTTGAGTATGTTAAACCACCCTTGAACCCCAATGATAAGCCTCTCCTGATGATGGTGGATGCTCTTTTAATGTGCTGTTGAATTTGATTTGCTATTATTTTGTTGAGACTTTTTGCATCTATATTTATTAGGGTTATTGGCCTACAGTTTTCTTTCCATGTAATGTCCTTGTCTGGCCTTGGCATTTTGGGTAATGCTGACTTTGTGAAATGAATTTGGGAGTGTTCCCTCCACATTAGTTTCCTGGAAGAGTTGAGAAAGATTGCCACTAATTCCTTAAATATTTGCAGAATTCACCAGTGAAACCACTTGGTCATAGGTTTTTCTGTGTTGAGAGGTTTTGACTACTAACTCCGTCTCCTTCCTCATTATTGGCCTGTTCAGATTTTCATTTAACTTAG